TAAGGACGGGAGGCCGATAACTTGTTGAGGTATTGCGCCACTAAGTTTATTATTAGATAAATCCAATAATATCAACCGCTGGCAATTCCTCAAGCTTGAAGGGATGACGCCTTCAAGATTATTTCCTCCTAAGTTGAGTCTGTATAACTTGGTTAAATTTCCTAAAGACGCTGGAATGCTTCCTGATAATGCATTCATAGCAATACCTAATTCCACAAGGCTTGACATCTTCTGAATTTCAGTGGGAATGTTACCCGCCAAGCTATTTTCCCCCATCATTAAGGACTCCAAGTTGACAAAATTCCCTAATTCTGTTGGGATGCTTCCATGTATTTGGTTTATGCGAAACCAAAACGTTTGAAGATTGGTTGAGAGATTGGATATTGATGTGGGCAACGTCCCACCAAAATTGTTTGACCCTATACGCAAGTGTTCTAACTCTGTGGCATTGGTCAAGTCTGAGAGAAAACTCAAGTCACCATCTGTACCGCTTCCAAGATGATTAGCTCCGATGGGGAATCGCTGTAGCTTATGAAGCTTTCGTAAATCCGGCACCTGTCCCGTTAGCTTGTTATGCTGAACTTGAATTATACGTAGATTCGTGGCATTCGATAGTGAGAGTGGCAAGGATCCAAAAAATTGGTTTGCAGCGATGCTAAAGATTTGGAGATTAGGAAGAGTGTTTCCCAAGTCTGATGGAAGCCTCCCTCGAATTTGGTTTCCTTCTACGGAAAAATGATAAAGAGCAGAGAGGTTATAGATGGAGGGAGGAATGGTACCAGATAAGTTGTTTATGCCCAATGACAAATATGTTAAGTTTTTCAATTGGCCTAGAGAAGTAGGGATGCTTCCCACCAAGTTATTTCGTAATGCACGAAGTGCCTCGAGAGACGAAAGGTTTCCCAAGGAAGGAGGGATCTCTCCTGTTAAATTATTGGAAAAAAAAAAATTTGAAGCTTCGACAAGGAGCCAAATTCAGATGGAATTTTACCCACCAACCCGTTGAAATCGAAATTCATGAAGATGAGGTTGGAGCAATATGATATGTTGTCTGGAATAGGGCCACTAATTGAGTTGTTGTTTAGAGACAGTACCTGCAATCTACGCAAATGCCCAATTTCTGGAGGGATTTCATGACTAAAGTTGTTGTTTTGGAGCTTTAGTGCCCTTAGGAAACTTAGGTTTCCTATGTGTGGGGATAGGGACCCTGCCAGCTTTTGAGATT